ACACACACACACACACTCACACACACACTCACACACTCTGAAGGAAGAAGGATGTCTTTCATTCATTGGTTGTGAGGAGGATGGAGGAATGTGTCCACTGGGGTTTACACACACACACACACACAGTATTTTGTGGGGGGCTGGGCACCAGATGAGCATGGTGATGGAGACAACAAACAACGTCCCTCTGCATCTGTCTCACACACGCATGCACACACACACTAATAGTCACCAGCTGGAGCTACCAGAGAAAGTGTGTGTGTGTCTTGTGTGTTTTCATTTGGATCACAAAGGTAATAAAGTTGCATATTTGATGAGGCCTTAAAAAGGTCAACATGTTGCTGTGGCTCATCCTGTATCTGTAGCAGAATGAACATCTGGACCCAGCTCTCTGCGTCTCTTGTCTGTCCAGGACGTGTCCTGTCTGAACCGGGACACCAGTAAGGTGATCGTGGTGGACTGTAAGAGGGAGGCGTTCAGCCTGCAGCCCTTCAACGGCATGGCTCTGAAGAAGTGGGATGGAAACTCTGAGGACCGGACGCTCTACGACCTCGCCAACTTCCTCAAGAGTAAGACGCCAAATGTTCAGGCTTCAGTCGTCTCCATACATTCTTTCTCTTCTCTCCTTTGCTCTCAGTAGTATAACAACATATACGTTATTATTTTGTATTTTGTCTTAAGTAAATGTAGAAAAGGATTATCATCCGCTATACTGAAGCTATTAACAGTAAAAGTACTCACTATACGGAATAGTATATATTATATTAGTGGATTGTAATTGTTAATGAATGAACGTGTTCGTCAGCTGGTAAAGGTGGAGCTTATTCAGATTAGTTGAGATACTGCTGGTTAGCTCCTTCTAAAATAATGCATCATCATTTATTAGTTGATTATATTTTGTATTACTAATCTGAATCTGCAAAGTAACTAAAGGTATCAGGTAAATGTAAAATGGACAATAATTATTTTGTACTAAAGTAGCAGAGAATAGAAAAGTAAACGACAAGTACCAAATAAAGTATCAAAATTGTACTTAAAGCAACATTATGTATGAATTTGTAAAGTTTACACTGCTGTTGTAAAATGTGCAAAAACAATTACGCAAATTATGACGTCAGGATCCAAAGTACGATGTTGACTAACAAATCCGTTTTATTTATTGTGACGTCAGGGATGAACAATAATCCAACAACAAAATAACAGAAATGGATGACAGGAAGTTGCTAGCGTTCTCAGCCCTATACACAGCCTGCTAAGCATTTGCAACAAATCACTTCTGCACACAAAAGAGTGAAGGAAATGTTTGTGAGTTTTGAGTAATGAAGTCAAATTGCTTTGTTAAAAACAGAAAAGTATATTCTGCTGTTTGACCTCCTCCTCAATGGCAGCTATCGCTCTGAGCGGAGTGGACGACGTGCGTTCAGTGCTGGAGAACTACGCTTTGGAGGAAGACCCCATCGAGGCCTTCAAACGCAGACAGGCTCAGCTGGCTCTGGTAGGAGGAACAATCTAGTGCTCCCTGGTTTGATTTGTCTGGATGTTGTTTGATGTTGTTTGATTCCATTCGATGGTCTGTCTGTCCGTCAGGAGGAGGAGCAGCGTCTGGCCGAGCTCTCCCAGCAGAAGAAACAGGGACTCTCTCTCGGCTCCATTGCCTCGCGGTTCTGGCGCTCCAAACAGCAGTGAGCCCCGCCCCCCTGTCACACTTCCACCAATCGCAGCCCGGCTCGCCATCTGCGTCGAGGGGACGGCCAGAGGATAAAGGGGGAGGGGAGAGAGGAGACCTGCGTGCTGTAGCTGAGCGGTCCCTACAACCAATCATGTCTCAGTGGGCGGGTCTGCGGTGCTGGAACATTGGCCATCCTCTGCACCAATGACAGAGGCACTTCCTGTTCTTACGGAGGCAGGGCGTCGGCGGCCCCCTCCCTTTGGTCATCTTGATGTGATGCATATCAAGCTGCTGATTGGTTAAAAAAGGAAAAAACAGAGGATCCAGGTCAGGATAAACTCTTGTTGTTGGCGGTTTGGTGGTTGATCTGAGATCAGCGCTGCTATCACTACTCCAGCTCTGGTTAGCCCCGCCGCTCACAGGATCTGACCTGAGATCCCGTACCACACCTTCAGATTGTGTATTTAATTTTATTTTCTATTCCTGTGTGTGTGTGTGTGTGTGTGTGTGTGTGTCAGATTGTGCTGACGGGCTGCTGGAGACAAAATATTGTTGATAAGAAATAAAGATAAACAGTAAATAGTGTTCTTTAGAGTTTATTCAATATGTAGGACTGGTGGTGGTGGCATGGACGAGAAATCATCTCAGCTTGTGGCCGCAATGAAGACTGGAATAGCAGCTGAGCTCGAGGTGTCGGAAAAAAACGAATCAAAGCTAATGTCGCTTTCCTCATCTTTCATTTCCAAATGAGTTAAAAGATCATTCATCCTTCATCTGAAAACACTTCTCTTATTCGGGGGGGGCATCCCAGCTGACATTGGGTGAAGGCAGGGTTCACCCTGGACAGGTCGCCAGACTGTCACAGGCCTGACGCACAGAGACAGACAACCATTCAAGCACACACCCTACGGGCAATGTAGATTCCTCAATGATGTCATCCTCTCTGGATCGTGGGAGGAACCTGGAGAAAACCCCTGCTGAGACCCGCGGAGAGAACATGACAGAGAACATGAGGGACAACATGACAGAGAACATGAGGGACAACATGACAGAGAACATGAGGGACAACATGACAGAGAACATGAGGGACAACATGAGGGACTACATGACAGAGAACATGAGGGACAACATGAGGGACTACATGACAGAGAACATGAGGGACAACATGACAGAGAACATGAGGGACAACATGACGGACAACATGACTGACGACATGAGAGAGAACATGAGGGACAACATGAGGGACTACATGACAGAGAACATGAGGGACTACATGACAGAGAACATGAGGGACAACATGACAGACAACATGAGGGACAACATGACAGAGAACATGAGGGACTACATGACAGAACATGAGGGACAACATGACAGACAACATGAGGGACTACATGACAGAGAACATGAGGGACTACATGACAGAGAACATGACGGATGACATGACTGACGACATGACGGACGACATGACGGACGACATGAGGGACGACATGACGGACGACATGAGGGACGACATGACGGAGAACATGAGGGAGAACATGAGGGAGAACATGACGGACGACATGACGGACAACATGAGAGAGAACATGAGGGAGAACATGAGAGAGAACATGAGGGACAACATGAGAGAACATGACGGAGAACATGAGGGACGACATGAGGGAGAACATGAGGGACGACATGACGGAGAACATGAGACAGAACATGAGGGACGACATGAGACAGAACATGAGGGACGACATGACGGACAACATGAGGGACAACATGAGAGAGAACATGAGGGACAACATGAGAGAACATGAGGGAGAACATGACAGAGAACATGACAGAGAACATGCTAACTCAACACAGGAGTCTGCACGTCCAGCCGGGGATTGAACCCGGGCCCTGGGTCAACAAATTCTATAAAAAAGACAGAAACTAACAGTTAGTCCGTCGCTCAATACCGTCTGACATCCTGTCTCTGGCTCTCACCTCCAAGCCCATTGGTTCCCCACTGGTGACGGAAATCTTTAAACACACAAATGTAGTTTCATCAGTAAATTTCTAAAACAGCTGGTCACTCTAGTTTTTAATCAAACAAACGGGAGAAAAAGGCGCATTTGTTTGGGACTATTTTCAGCGGTGGATCAATCCACATTTGGTGCTCTGCTGAGTGTTTGTGGCAGCAGGACGGTGTGTGGTCGAAATAAACTGCAGTGTGTGTGTGTGTTCATGTTAACTAAGGAACATTAAGGACCTTGTCAGCTAAACTAGAAACCCTCTTTAAAGTTCAGCAAACATACAATAGTTATTCTTCATAAATAATAATTCTATCATGGAGCAGCTTGAATTACCCGAGGAGGCCTCTTTAGGTGAATCCTCTCCTCAAGGAGAGAACAACCGTCCACGGAGAGGAAGCGCTCAGCTGCCGTTCCTCTGAATGCACTTGTTGAAAGATTCTGTGTTGATGTGAACTCACCATTGACGTCCTCAATAAAGGAAATTAACCATGCTTATTTCATGTCTTTGCACACAGTTTTTCCTCAAAGTGTTTTGTCCACCTTCTTTTACATTCACCACTTTCTGATTGGAGTTCGTTCCTTCTGTCAGAGTACAACAGGATTGATTCACAGTCTTCAAGATACATAAGCAGCTTTATTTGTTTTGCTTGCTGTGAAGTTATTTTCCTTCACTATTTACGATTTCTCTCCAGTTCCCCCTCATTTAGGATTTATTTAAAATAATCTTTCCAGCCATCCATAGGACACACTAATGCTAAATAATGCTCAATAAAGACACACTTTACTCTTCTTTCTCTGAGTAAGTGAGCACTTGAACTTGTTTTAGCAGTTAGATTTGAACTGCATGCTTTGTAATATGTTAGAGTGCAGGTTTTAGCATTATATTATTTCCTGTGTACGGAGGACAAAAGTAAAGATGGTTTAAAGTCGTCTTTACTTCTCCAAACCACACATGTTTGTGATGAGGTTTGAAGGGACCACGTGTAGTTATTGTGTACATTTGAAGGCGGATGAACAGGAAAACAAGTTGAGTTCCAGCCAAACCTCAGGAATCGGTCGCATTCTTGGATTTAAAGAAACCCTGCGGTGCCTTGAAACCGCTCCATCTGTTTTCCCTGTCCCCTCTCTGTTGGACTCCTGCTTCACAAGCATCCATCTGTGAAGGTGTCGGCACAGTTTGCACCTCTGACATGCAGTGAAAGCCGCCTCAGCCTGTATGGAAACAGTCTGCTTCTAAAGGGAAAGACAGGAACCCATGTCCATTCTGGTTCTGCACCAAACAGAGTTAAGTCTGCCAAACGAGTTTAAATAATGTCAAAATGATTATATACAATACTTGTATGTGAAATTCAAATGATTTTAAAATGTCACTTAAGTAATAGAGTATCGCACATTATATATGATACAAAATCAAAATAATCACTTACTAAGATACAATTTTGAGTTGTTGATTTCTTTCTTTGTCAGAGTTTTAACAGAAAGTCAACATTTTGACTTTGCGTCTCATCATTTTGACTTCTTTAATCTTGTTCTAACTTCCCTTGTATCCCCTTTGTATGTTTGATTTATTCGAATGTTTACAGTCTGAATTTTTACTTTATATTTAATCATTTTTGTATTTATATAGTCCAAATTTCTGCTTTGTATCTCCCTAATTCTGACTTCCAGGGTCATGATTTGATGCATTAAAGCAAACGGTTGACTCAAAAAAATCCCCAAATGTTGACTCACCAAAGAAGTATCAGTGAAGAATGTAAACATCTTCCATCGTGTGCATCCATGTCTTTACACCGAGGAGGTTGAAGGCTAGTAACCTGTGGCTACGTTCAGCTTGTGTCCTGCCCGCCTATGATGGTCTCATTACACACTGTGTAGTAATCAGCGATGTCCACAGGCTGTCAGCGCACATGAAGATCATTTTGGCCCCCGGGTCACACCATGAGGGGCAGTGACTCACTCAAATGTCTGTCTGGTGTTTAATTAAGGCAAAAGAGGCCCATGAGGACATCCTAAATACATAAATATATAAATATTCACCACCTATAACTGCATGAAGTAAGAACGAGTCAAACTCTTTATTGAAAATGTAATTACAGATGATAAAAAAGCCATTACCAGTATTATAGAGAGAAGACAAAGAAGTGAATGAAGTGAACCAGTAACGTTGTGGTTTCTCTCTGTGGACTGATGGAAGATCAGCCTGATGTGGTTTGAAGCTTAAAGGCTTCTCACTCCGTGAATCTTCTCTGCTGCGCTTATTTATCCAAAGTGTCTGAGAGCCTGCAGGGACGGAAGAGAAGCAGCTCAGGCAGGTTTCCAGCTGTGTTCAGAGGAGTTCATGAGGCTTATCCAGCCCAAGGATTAGCAAGGAAATGCTGCTGTTTGCAGAGGTTTCAGTGTCTTCACAGATTAGACGTCACAAGACTGCATCTCACATCAAACAACTGGGCAGTAGCAGTACAACTTTATTTGGTTCCATTTTGAGAAAGTCGCGCCAAAGAGTTAAAGCTGTGTTCACTAGTGGTCGGTGACATGAATACATTTGATGCTAGTATAAATATGTATTTTGATAATCACAAGTATGTTATTATTATATTTCTATTGTAATATTGTATATTGTTCAGGTGCCTGGAAGAAGGACCATATTACCCTCCATGGCTGACAGAACGGTTCAGACCTGATTTGAAGGTTCTCCTGTTTGTCTATAAAGCCCTAAATGGGCCTAAACCCCTCCCTTTACAGCAGACCTTCTTATTCTTCTGTACTCCTCCTCCAGGTCCCTCGGGTCGCTGACTCGGGGCTCCTGCTGTCCTCCGATTGAAACTCAAGCTCTGTGTCTCCCCCCCCCCCTACATCAGATCTGGTCTCTTCAGCACTTTGGTCAACATGGGTTGTTTTTAAATGTGCTTTGTAAATACATTTGATTGATTGTTACTTCTGAATGAAGTGTGACTGATGCAGTGTTTATGGGACGTAGGTCATTTGCAGAGCGTGTCCCTGTGAGCTCTAGAGCTGCAGGCATGATGCATGTTGGTAGTTAGCATCTTCCTGGTTCTCTTGGCTGAAGCCAAAGGGTTTTCTTTCCCATCGGATTTTTGATAATTGCAGAAAATAAGCCCTGTGGCAAACAAACATTTATGATATTACATGTTTTGTTCAGAAAGATCATTTTCTCAAATGAACCCCACTTTTATGATTTTTGAAGCATATATATTCAGATATAAACACTGACTGCCATAAAGTATTGAGCGCTGGAGACCAATTATTGTGTTAAAGGAACGATGCCAGGATTTATATATAGACATTTGCATTGGTCTTTGCTATACAATTAATACCGGATATGATTGATTACAATGAATATATATTGGATAATAGTTTTATTTTATTTGTAGATGATTTTTATAAAGCATTTGACACAATAAGCCAATTTATTTTTAAAGTTAATAAATGCTTTGGATTTGGGAATAGCATCTTAAGTGAGCTAAGTTTCATTAATCAATGCTTTTAATAAGTACGCCCTGATTACCATTTACATAGATGGTGGTTTCCAGTCATGTTAATGAGAGTTTGCAGCAGCGTGTGAAAGGAATGAACAAGAGGCGGGAGGAGGGGGCGGGGCCTCACACCTACCTGCAAACTGTCTC